CAGACGTATTGCGACGTCACGTATTACGCAGATAGACACGTACGAGTATATTACACCGAGAATCTGACATCACGCGCGTACCGTGGCATTTGATAGATAAGATTGTTGCACTATCCAAACGATAGCAGCAGCATATACAACTTGCATTACATCATCTCTTAATCATTGCACGAATGAAATCAACACATCCGGTATATCGATTGCTTCTATCCTTCATATCCTTCTGTCGCACATAATATTTTCTAAAATGAATGAATATTGACACAATACTACAATATACGATTAGTTTCTAGAGAACTTCTAATTTATTGAGGAAAGTGATTTATTGTTGATTTAAAAAAAATCACATGTCCTGAAAATAGATATATATTTTTTAAATATGAGATATAATAATTGTTATTATTATTAATTATAAAATATGTGAAAATGAATATGGGTTATTGCTACAAGTATTTTTAATTGAAGTACTAATTAATAGCTTGGAAAATTATTGTGAAAGAAGAAATAATTAAATAATTCAATGTTTTTAATTTTAATTACTTATTTAGCATGATAGAGCTTTTAATTTGCTCTACTAGTACTAAAATAAAGATGAAATATGTTACGGAAAACCCTTTCCTTAAAAGAGAGCGATTCAACTAAAAAAGTTAAGTTATTCAGAACAGAAGTAAAATTTTTTTTAACTTAAAAAAAGTCGTTCAACCTAACAGAAAATTATTGACTAATTAAATAATACTGACAAAAAAAAAATACTTTTAAAAATATCGACAAGACAAATGTCATTTTTGTCATTTTTCTTTCATAATCCTTAAAAACGCCCTTTCTAAGCTATGACGATTTTTATATCGTACAAATTATAACAAATTCAGAATAATTCATAAAAAGTGATATAATTTGAAATATTGACAATAGTTTATATTTAATATATTTACCTTAATCAGCTAATATGAATTCAAATTGAAACATTTTTTTCTTGAAACTTTGATCACCAAAATTGTTTTAACTCTAAATGTTGTTTCTAGTAAATTCTCTTTTTTATTTACAAAACGACACAATTCAAAATGTATTTGTAAAAAGCATATTACGATCTCTTTGAAAATCTTAAGAATGACACAAGTGCTTTGATGGACGGAAGTTAATTTACTTTTCATGATTAACAGAGTAATCTTTACCTAACTCATTCATGGTAATAACTCGAAAATCACATTTTTTAAATTGTGTCACTTTTAAAATGATGGAACGAAAACAATCTTTGTGAAGATCACATACTTTTAACAAGCATTTTTAATAACCATCTTTTGTATATACGATTATACTTTATTTTGTATCGAGCTTCCTTGTTTGAGTTCAATTTTTAGATTAATTTTTTATATCAACGGATGAATATTCGCGATATTTACACATGATTATTGACGCGATGAAGCTATTAGTGAATCTTACTTGCAGATATTTTAAGCATGAAACTTCACTTGTTCTGTACAAGATCAAAGGATTGCTCTTAACAAATTTCGCTTTACTGCGCATTTTGTTCTCATCTTTTTTCATAATGCTCCAATTTCAACTATCGGTTATCGGCTATCAAATGTTCAACGGAAACGCTGTCAGTTGTCTGAAGATGTTAGATAAGTAGGTGAAGTTAAATAAAGAAAACGGCAGATATATATATAGGTAAAAGGCCATTTATTATGCATACGTTTTCTTTTTAAACATTTACCCGAAATATGTAGAAGAATTAAAAAAATTTAGATTACGGAGAGAATCCAAAATATTCAGTGACCTATAATTTCAATATTTGAATGATATACCTTATCTTGGAGATTGAAACAATTTACCTCAAAAATTTAACTTTACTTTCTGCAATTTCAGAAATTTGCATATGTATATTGACATATAGCTCATAGTTGCAATTGAAATGCGCTTGTTGGGAACGGAACTGTATAAAATATAAATAAGAAGAAAATCAGGAAGGAGAGAGGAAAAAGAGAATGTATAAACGACCTGTCTGTTCCTGGCGTGTATCAAGCCTCAGGCGCGTTTGCTGACACTTAATTGGCCAATTCTTCCGCATGCATACGTCACGTTTTCGCGTGCCCTACCATGATCCCGTCTATTCTATATCGTGCGCATAAGATTCGTAAAAGGATGACTTGCAGTGGTCCGCCTGTCCATACACTGGCGCCTAAGTGGTAAACTTGTAAGTGGCGAAATAAAGTTGGGCGGGGGTTCCGCGCGCGCGCACGCTACCGTGTCTGTGACAGTTTAATTAATATCTTTCATCCTCAAAGGAAAAACTTGGCGAACTAACCGGCATGGACCCAGTTGCAATGCCGGGCCGGACTGGAACCACTTCAACTTCGGACGCAACGACGGCGTCGTCGACAATCCCCCGCCAACCAGGACGCCGACTCCATTCTTCTCTCGCTCTCGTTTACGTCTCTTGTCTCGCGACTACCCTGATAAACTTCTATATACCTTTCTTTCTTTTTCCTTTATGTTATGGACGTTTTTGCGCTTTATCACTACCAAACTGTAAGGTACGCGCGACTGAGTATTTTCGCGTGACAAAATTTTGCTCGCAAGAAATATATTAATCATAGAGATAGAGAATGGAGATACATTTTAATCATATTTGCAAGCTATTGAAGAATGCAATGGACATTTTTTATATTGTGTTAATTACAATATTTTTCATGCAGTATTATTAAATAGTACTCTGTAAAAGTAAATCAGTGTACTATTACTGACTTTTTAGTGCTTATAACTGATGTAATAATCAGCGATAATATTTATATTATTTGTTTTTCAGTAATTTTCTGCAGATTCAATCTGAATCAGATTCATTCGGAAATCATAACTTCTAAAAATGAATTAGTGTATTATTACTGAAAAAACAGTATAAAGTATTCGCTGATATTAGAATTATAAGGGTAGCACTGAAGTCAGTAATAATACACTGATTCATTTTTACACAGTCTTATTTTTACGTGGAGTATAAAATGTTTAAATTGCACATAATGTAAATATGTACGCCTGTGGGTGCACGTATCGTTACAATTTTTAATACAATATCGATACAGTTAAAACAAAAATTATATGCTGCTGTTTTGACACACGTACATTTTCTGACCGCGTATCTCTGAATGTACCGACGATTAACTTTATAAAATATCGCGAGAGTGATAATGCGCTCCCGGCTGTAGAAACAGCGAAAGAGGGAAAAAATGAAGGTGATCTGACGAGTTTGTAAGCCGCGCTTTCTGAACAATCCGTGAAAATAAACGTGCGTGAAATCTGCATGCATCGAGTTTACTCTGCAAACTCACTGCATTGCCATGTCCAATGCCATTATACTCTTCGAAATATTTTACGAGCTTTAGTAGTGTCCATGTGACACCATGTATATTTTCTCATTAATTTAAAAAGTTTAAGCTGCTAATTACGGTTTTCATGAATTATACAGGAGATCGTTACATGATCAAAAATGAAACGAGGAATCCTTTGATGAATTTGCCAAAAGTTGATTATACTGTCTGATTGTTAGCAAATACGAAAAACGAAACTCCATTTCATCATTTATATTTGTAGTAATACATGAAAGTATTTTCTCTCTAATTGTTGACATTTATTGCGTACAATTTCATTGAAAGCTCTGAAAAATATTTAATAAGTAGTAAATGTTTTCATGATTATACTGTGACAAAAATTAAATTACTCTCGATTTCCTATTTGTTTAAACGAAACTCTGCTTTAAGCTATTTAAGTCACGCTTTCGTGTGTCGGAATGAAATTTGCGTGAGGAAATTTTTCTCCTTTTCTTCGCCGAACATTATCGGGCTTTATGATAAAGGCAGACAACGTATCGCTGGTGCAACACCGTATAAATCTACCCACGTATAGATAATATTTCACAATGCATTATTCAGATTTTTCACAAAGCTTTATATGCTCCGCGGGGAAACCCTTCATACGTCGCGGAGTGGATACCGGCTTGTGTAACAAACACGTGACGGCATCTATTTACCACTTGGCATGTAACGAGAAGTGATTTTACTCCGATTATTGTCGGTCAAATATTATGATAGTCAATGCGATCATCGACACGAGAGAAACACGCGATCTTATCAAATAATTGAAAAACCGCCTGACGCACTTTAAAGAAGATATAACCTTCGTAACGTGATCAAATTAACGATTCCCAAGAAATGAAATTAGAAAGAGAGAGAGGATTCGCACGTAATTTAAATTAAATATTGAGGAAATAAGCTTCTTCTTTTCTTTACATCTCTTAAAAGCTTGACATACTTATATAAAATTATCACAATGAGGTATCTTATTTTACGTGAATTAAATTTTAATATAACGATCGTACCAGAATTAATAAATGTTTAAAAAAAATTCTAAATTATCTGTTATTGAAAATTTAATTAATCGAACAGTATGGTAGTTGTCGCAATTGTAATTTTAGCGAACGAATAAATATTAATTTATCAAATGTTAAATTTAAGTTAAAATAAATTTCATTTTTACATAGATCTATATATATGTAAATGAAACATTCGTTAAAACAATAATAACGTTTTATTTTCTTCCTTTACACACCAAATTAATTTCAATTAGCATATTATGTTAAACAACGGAGGAAAATTTCTATTCGCGTGAAATACAAATTTATACAGGATACAATCTCGTATAAAGAATAGTCTTGTGAACTCTGTTGTATGTTAAGTTGATCCTCGAAAAATATTCGAGGATGGAACCCTCTGAACATTTACCAATCTTTATTGGAGGGAACCAGAAGAATATAAAAAGATACTTGAAGTGACGAGTGTCCTTTATTTTCCCAACGGTAATACGGGATGTTTGCTCGCTCGCATTCCTCGGCACGTGCCATTAACTCCAACGAGAATTTTCGCGCGATTTCTCGTCTGCGCGACGCGGAGAAGCAAGAAAAAGAAAAAGCCCAGTCGGCAATATGCAGATGAGTATATACGGGTATGTACCTGATAGCGTCGGATTCGTCGCGGACGAGGAGCCGTCTTGGCGCATGGCGTCACTGGTAATTGCCGTTCCGCCGAGATTGGTGCTGTAGTCTTCGAGAAGTACGCAGCACAATAATAGCCGTGCCACCCTCATTCTGAAAGAACGAAAGAAAAGCTGAACGATAATAACAAACCCACGTTCTCTGTCAACTCGCGTTTTTCGTCTCTCTTTCTCCCTTTCTCTCCTTCC